TCTTCATGTATTTCAATTCTATTTAGAAGAGTTTTCTAAAAATTTATTTAAAATATATTTAAGTATTTTCAAATTAACTGCTCCTCTGGACCAGAATCTTGAAACGCTTTTTTAACATTAGAATGCCCCTTTTATATTTTTGCTACCCCCAAATTTTAAAAATTTTTCGTCATTTAATTTCTGTTTAAATCTTCGTTTGGTTGTATTTTTGTTAGAGACGGTGCTGGGGTATACAAATTTCTTGTGGTTTACATATTTATCTTTTTTTTATTTAACCCAAAAATGCCTAGTTTTTTATTTATGAATTTACCCCTTTTAAAATAATTTTAAAAAATTATTTTTCCTTTACCTTTTTCTTACGTTTTTCATCCTTTAAATTTTGAATTAAAATTTTAAAATTATTTATTTTCCACAAATAATTAATTAATTCCTCTTTTACAACACTCCCATTAATTAAAAATAATTTATCAAAATTTAAATAAATATTTCTTTTTTGCCTTTTCCAAATTAATTTCATTAATTCTTTATTTTCAGTATTTAACCATTTATTATTTTCATTTATTATCAAATAAGCCCATCTAGACCAAACAATATAATTTGCTATGTTAATACTTGAATAATAAATATTTATATTTTTAACTGTTAATACATCAATATAATGTTTAATTATTTGTTTGTTTTCGAGAAATACTGGAAAATTTAAAAAAATAAATATTTTAAAAATAATTTATTAATTTTCCCTAATTGGCTAAAAATTGTTAAACTTAAATATATGTATTTTTAACGTAATATTTAATTAGCTCCCAGCGTTTCATATCCATTAAGTTTTAAATAAAAAAGCATTTTATTTCTTGTGAAATAAAAATAATATCGAGAGGAGTTCCCCTCATTATTATTGATATTTTTAGAAAAAAGCGGAAAGCTATCTAAACACAACATTACACAAATATATGACTTTAATGGTATTGTAAATAATTTTCAGTCAGTCCTCGTTCTTATTCACCCCTTTGACCTGAGAAGATCTTATAGTAAAGACTAAGGATTTATATGACATTTCGGATATAGGTATACATAAAACAAAATTGTCTGCTCGTTTAACTTTAAATATTTTCCCTCAAATTTTATTTAGAATGTTCTATTAATTTTTTTTTAATTTTTTTACAATTACAATCCTCGTTTTTTTGTAAAAAATTTTAAAATTAAAACAAACAATCATCATTTATTAATTTATTTATTTCAATAAATTCATCTATTCTAGCATTTCCACACAAAATAGAAACAATTAAATAACATGTTCCTCTCTTATTTTTAATTTTTTCCAAAATATTTTTATCTTCACTAAATTTTTTATTTAAATAATTAATGTGTTCATCACTCGTTAATTGCCTCATATTAATTAAATGTGTACCATCATTTCTAATTTTTATTTCAAAATTTAATTCAATTTTATTTAATTCTTTATTTATTTCATTAATAATTAAATCACTTTCTCCATTTCCAAATTCTTTATTTTTAAAAATAAATTCTACAATATTAGTTAATAAATAAATTGAATATTCCAAATCATCATTTAAATATTTGTAGACTTCTAATTTTATTTTTTTGAAAATTTTTTCCAAATTTTTATTTTTTTCTGAATTTTCATTTATTTTAATTTTTTCTAAAAAATGTTTTTTTGAATTTTCCAATTTCCCCAACAAAATTGAAATATTTATTCTTTGTTCTGATAAAGAAAAAAATTTTCCTGAATATTCTTCGTGCATTTCTGCTTCTGATTTATTTAACATAAAAATATCTTCATATAAATTCCAACGATAATTTGGCTCCATTTCATCTTAAATAATTTTTATATTTAAATTAATTTTGTTTGATTAGCATTTTTTAAAATAAATTTATTTATTAATAAATTCTCAAAATTTAAACAATTTATTTGCTTAATTTTATTTTTCTATTGTTCATTAAATTTATTTTTTCACATATTTTTTGACAGTAATGGGGAATTTTTTTGAATCGATAATGTGAAAGGATAGAAAATTAATTATATTATAATTACTAGAGCCCGGATTTTTATGCATTAAAAAATGCAAAATATGCACTATAATATGCATAAAAAATTGCCAAAATATGCACAAAAATATGCAAGTAAACCAAAATATACGCGCATGTATGCATGAAAAATACCATTTATACCTAGAAATTTTACATTTTTTTAGTCAAAATGATTTAAAATACATTTTTTTATTAAGATTTCTCCTATTTTTAATGTATAGTTCGACAAATTGAGCATTTTTACGGTGTTGGGTATTTTGAGATGAGGCATTTTGGTGGTGGGACATCTTGGGGTGCGACGTTTTGGGGCTGAGACATTATGAGTGTGGGCCATTTTCTGGCGAAACCAATAAACACAAAAAATTTTTTTACAAAATTTGTAATTTTTACAAATTTTTTCCTAAATTTTTACTAAATTTTCACTTTTTGGCAGGATTTTAGGCAATTTTCGCAATATTTTCCCCAAAAACCTCAAAATATGCAGTAAAATATGCATTATGCAACAAAGTCCGAAATATGCAAAAATATGCATTATATGCAAATAGAAACCCCCTCTAAAGTTTTCAAAACTTGCGGAAACAGTGTTTTTTGTGCATAACACATCATGAAAAGTTTGCAAAAAAAATATGCATTTGCATAAAAATCCGGGCTCTAATAATTACTAAATGGAATTTGTTTTGATTTAAAATTTCAAAAAAATTTAGGAGATTCTTCTTGCAATAAATTCAAAAATTAAATTTTAATTCCCTATAAACTTTTAAAAATAAAACAATTAAAAACTACTTACATGTTATAAGAATTTCTGGATATTTAAACTCCAACTTTGCAAACAATTCATACCCAACTAATTTAATAATATTTGCTTTAACATTATTATCACAAGAAAAATTATTTGGGTTTATTTTACTCAGAAAATTGTGAAGGGAATTAAAATGAGAATATTTAATTTGTTTTTCTAAAAAGTTTGTGTTTAAACAAATTTCTATCAATTCTTCAATTTCATTTTCTGTTTCGCATAAAATTTCTTTATTAAAAATATCCATTTCCTTAAATTAAAAATTTTATAATTCCCCAAAAAAGGAATTGTTAATTTTATCTTATTTTCTAATCTAATCTGTTTTATATTATTTATTTCCGTAATATTTTCACCGTCTTTATTTTAAAAAATATAAGAATGACTACGGCATGGGCTTTAAAATTAAGTCCTGGAGCTTTAGAAAGTCCGGGAACTAAAATGTTTCGATGGTGAGAATAAAATTAATAAATTAAGTGAAAATAAGGGGTAGAGGAGTGATAGACAAACTAAATATTTAGTGATGATAGTTAAAAATAAATGGCAAGAGTTTTTATATTTGATTATCAATTGATTATTTTATTTTAATTTTATTTATAATTTACTCTATATATTTCTAATTTGGGAATTATCTAGACAATTAGTTAATTTTACTCTAATTTATTACAATTTTAATATTAAATTTACAAACATATTTAGGCAAAATAGAATAATCTTCCAAAGATTGTTTCCAATATTCATTATTTAAAAGTTCTTCCTCATTTTTAACCAAATTTAAAATAAATTTAAAAAATTCACAAAATATTTTTTCTCTTTTCCAATTTTCTGAATTTTCCAAAATATTTAAAATTAATTTTAAAGAATTTTCTGAAAATTTTTGAAATTTTTTGTTGAATTTATTTAAATTAAATTTATATTTTTCTTTTTTAGCTTCTTCATTTTCTTTTAATTTTTCACTTAAAAATGAATAAAAAATTTTATAAAATTTTTCCTCCTCCTCCTTTAAAATATTTTTACCAGCAGCATTTTCAATAAAAAATCTAAAACTTTTAATTAAAGATTCAATTTCAAGTTTTTTTAAATATTCATTATTATTTGAAAATAAAAAATAATTTTTATATAAATTAAAATGTTCTCCATTTTCTTTTAAATTAAATATTTTATATTCTTCACTTTTAAATATTTCTTTTTCATTTATTAATGTTGAATTTGTAATTAAAAAAATATTAATAATTAAATTAAATAATAATAATATTAAATACATTTTATTTAATTTTTTAATTTAATTTAAGAAATAATAATTAAAAAAATATGTATATTTATTTGGCTATACATATTTAAGTAGTTGCACTTTTATTTGGCCATAATAAATACACATGTATGTGTATTTGCACTTTTATTTTTTATCTATTTTGCTTTAATGAATTATGAAATTTTTTGTGTTTTGGATAGGCAAAATAAATCAAACTATAATATTAAATTTGAATTAATTTTATAAAAAAATATTTAATTCTATTTAAAAACACATTCTTCTACTACTCATCGAAATTCCCCTTTCACTACTGCAAGTGGAAACCTTTTACATAATTTTTGGCTTAATTTTGGCAAAGAAATTTTATAAGCAGGCGTAGTGATGTAAAAATTTGAATCGGAATTTTACAATCGAGACGCAACTGAAACTTCTGTGCAAAATCCTATTCAAAATCTCTCATCATTGGGGGGGGGGGGTGTATTTTTATTTGGTTTCGTCTGAAAATTTTAGTTTAAAAATAATTTAATTTTTGGAAATCTAAAACAAAAAAGAATTTTTTTCCTTTTTAAGTTCAATTTATTTCTTTTCATTTCCATTGATTAACAAAAAAAATATACTATGTAGAATGAACGTTGTTGTTTTTAAAGACGCGTGTGACTTTTGCCTTACAAAAAGAATTTTTTCTTTTATAGTAAATGTTTATTTTTAAATTCCAGAGAGATTTTGAAAGGAAGATGAGGAAAGTTTTGGACTTTCTGCATAAAAATTAAGATAACTTTTCCGATTAAATTATTTTTTATAATTTATTTTCAATCACCTACCAATTTATTTTTAATATTTTTAGACACATTTTAATTATTCTTTCATTTTTTTCAGTTAATTTTTGTTACTTAAATATTCCAAAGAATGCTTTCCTTACCAATAGAGGCAAAACTTGATATTTTTAAATTTTTCACCTATCGACAATTATGTTCAGTCATACAAACAAATTTTTATTTTTATGATTTTATTACTAATTTTGAAGGAAAACTTGCTCGGGAAGAATTATATGAAATTTCTATTGTAATGATTTTTAATTAATTAAAAAAAAATAATTAAAGGATTGGTTTAATCAATTCAAAAAACTTCCTCATAAATTAATTAAACCTGACGCTAAGGATTTTGACTTTCTGTTGAATGAGCAAATTGAAGAGAAGGTTAATTTAAATTAAAATATTTAAAGATTTCATTTCTTTTTAGTTGAAAAATGGACTAGAAACCCCAATTCCTTTGTATTTATATGAGGAAGATTCCCCCGAAAATATTGTTATCTGTTTAGACGAAGGTTAAGTTTTGTTTAATAAATTTATTCAAGTCCTCAATCACCAGTAGTTTAATTTTTATGGAAGCTCAATTGTGGGCAGAAATGAATGCGGATTGTGTTGACCACAATTTCTGATTAATAATTTTCTTTAGCCTTTTCATAGAAAAATAGAATTTTTGAATGTTGTAACTTATAGGGGTTTTTTGGCAGTACCGATAGCTCGCCGAGCTGAGTCGATCGCGCGAGGGAAGTCGATCCGAGGATCAGAGACCGAGTTACAGACCCCTGCAGTTTGAAAAGAGATGGAGTAAGCTAATTTTGCCCTGATCGTCGGATCGACTTCTTCCCCCGCGCGATCGACTCAGCTCGGTGAGCTCTTTCGAATGACACCTTACTTGTCGAAATCGGTACTGCCAAAAAACCCCCCCTATTAGTCACAATACCTGAATTTTTGCACAACTGTCCGAAAAGTTAGTAATTTTAATCCAAAAAATTTTCAGATGTGCTTAGTAAAAATTATCTTATAATTCAACTACCAGACATTATTAAAAGCAAAGACGACCTCAGAATTGTTTACTATTATTTAAATAAATTATTTAGTTGCTCTTTTGTATATTGCAACTTTGATATATTTATCTTCAATCCAGAATTAATTGAATTATTATTTGGAAATGCTAAACAAATTTGTATTCGAGAATTTTATCTGGAAGTTACGGATTGCAACATTGAAAATATCTTGAAATTCATTTTGAATCATCTAATTAGCAAAAGTCTTGAAATTAATTTTAGTTTATCTAAAGAATTTCCAAAATATAAAGATATTTTATTTAAAATTTTAACGAAAGGAGACAATTTTAATAGAATTAGTTTGAGTGACTTATTAAATTCAACAACACTTTATGAAAAGATTATTGAAGTAAGTTACCAATACTATAAAAATAAAAGTTAAATTTTAAGTATATAGCAACATCTAGAAACTGTTCAAAAATGGTCTCTTCTATTTTATTTAATTTCAATAATCAAACAAATCTTAAATTAAACGAAAAAGCAGAAAATGCTGAAATTAAACAACTTGATAAATTTAAATCGACAAAATACCAAATAGCCAATATTTTCAATCCAGAAGTGAGATTCTCATTTTACAGTGAAGAATGGGAAGATTTTCGGCGTTTTCAAGTTAAAATCAACATAGAGAGAGTGTAAAATTTGGGAAAATGAAATGTTCGATTTGTCAGAGAACAAGGGCGTAGCCAGGGGGTCGATTTCGGGGGGGGGGGGGGGGGGGGCTAACACTGGGTGGGCGCCAAATTTTTGGCGTTTACCTTGGCGTTCCGGACGCAAATTTTTTTGTACACAAATTTTCACATTTTCAGCGCCGCAGGCGAAAATTTTTTTAAATTCGAAGGCCGTAGGCCAAAAAATTCACTTTTTTGCCCAACGCCTTCCCCAAATTTTTCCCTTTTCCCAATTTTGGGGGGAGGGGGGGGGGGGCTTTAGCCCCAGAAGCCCCCCCCCCTTGGCTACGCCCTTGTCGGAGAAATAAATAATTTAAAAGATTTCTGGTTTTCTTTGATTTTCTAATTTTTTCTGGTTTTCTAATTTTTAAATTTTAAAAAGCAGAATAAGAATATTTTTAAAATAAGATTTTTTAAAATCAAAATTAAAAAAAATCTGCAAATTCTGATTTTAAAAATATTTTGATTTAAGAAATCTGCTTTTTATTTGTTCTTTCCGACCGCTTTCGTCTGTTCCATGTTTTGGAATTCCTCGTTTTGTGCCTTACCCAAAATAGTGACTGCCAATTCCTTTTATATTTTTGTATTTAACGGCGCAAAGCGACAACTTGCTGGAAAATAGCCCTTATCAATTTTTGTACCAAACTTTTTAGCTCGATGAGAGGAATTGTTTAATACTAAATTTGGAAAGATAAGAAAATCCTGAAGCAAGTTATAGCCGCGCGCCGTTTTGCATGTGTCCCAAAAAATACTTACACATAAATAATAATTTTACAAATCCTTAATTTATTATTTTATAAATATATTTTAAATTTTTATGTAAAAATTATTTATTAAAGTTTTTAAATTTTTACTTAAAAAATTAAATAACTACATATTTAAGCTTGTTTTAAATTTATTTTAGATAATTGATTTTTTAGATTTACCACCCTATTATTTTTTGATGACTAATTTAATTGATTCTTGTTTGTTAAAAATTGGCTTTCACCAAGTTTTTAGTGGAAATTCGGTGAATAATTAATTAAAATATTTTAAAATAATTTTTTAATTAATTCATAGATTGAATTATTAAAAGAAAGTATTCTTTCGGTCTTAAAAAGTAATTCTTCTCAAAATATTTTTATTGGATTTTCTGGCGGTTCAATGCCTCAATTACTTGCACCTTTATTAAATGAACTTTCAAATGATGTAATTAAAATTAAAATAATTTTTCTAAAAAACTTTTTTTAAGTTAATTTCCAATCTTTTATTATTTCCTGTCGATGAACGTTTGGTGCCTTTACAAAATGAAGAAAGCAATGCCGGCAGTCTTTTAAGAGAATTATCTACCAATAAAGAACGATTTGAGAACAAAATATTAAAAATTTCTGAAGAACCTAATTTATTAGAAGATGGACCTAAAATGGCTTCAGAATTTGAAAATAAACTTCGATCAATGCATCCAAAACTTGATGATAATGGATTTCCTATTTTTGGTAATTCCTACTACCTCAAAAAAAGCGTAAAAAATATTTTGTGATAATTAAAGGACATTCTCGCTTTTTAATGAAAAAATTATCACATTTTTGATAACAAGACAAAAATTGATTGTTAAATTATTATTTTGAAATATTTTCCCGACAGCTCCGAAAAAGGGAAGAGAAAATCTTCTCAACTTAATTTTTGACAAAAAATATATATTCTTATTCTTTTGTGGAAAGTTGAGCTGAATTAACTTTTTCCAAACTTTAAAATTAATTTTGTCTGTTTCAGAAATTAGTTGTCGATTATTCCTTGCTTTTCCTAACTCGAATTTCTGATTAAGTTCATCTTTCCAGTTTCCTCTTTCTACTCAAAAAAATTTTTTACCCATATATTTTATTATCTATATTTATATCCTACTCCTTTAATTTCAAAAAATTTAATTTTTAGATCTTCTACTTCTTGGATTAGGCCCTGATGGCCATACTTGTTCTTTATTTCCAAATCATCCATTACTTGAAGAAACGAATAGATGGATTGCTTATATAGATGATTCGCCCAAACCTCCACCAAAAAGAATTACTTTAACTTTGCCTGTTTTGAATGCAGCAAAAAATATTATTTTTATTGCTAATGGAAAATCTAAGGCCAAAATTATTGCTCAAATATTTGAAAATGAAAATAATAATAAATTATTGTTACCACCTAATTTAATTAAAAGAAGAGAAGATCAACAACCAATTAAATGGTTTTTGGATGGAGAAGCTAGTTCAGACATAAAAATTAAATAGAAAATAAATAGAAGTGAAAGAAGAAAAATAAAATATTTTTACTCAAAAATATATTTTTTTTGAAAATATTCAAGTTAATCCAAAATCGACAAATGTTAGTCATTCAATATACCAACTAACAAAATAAAGTAAATTTCTATTTTATAAAAAATAGTACGTCCACACTTGACTGGAATCGGATGTTAAGAGATAGAGATACAGACTTTCTCCAATAGACAGACTTCTCCAGACTTTCTCTCAACAGATTTTCTCCAAATTTAATAATTATTTTTTATTTATTTTCCAAAAAAATTTAAACAACAAATCATCTTTAACAATTTTTAAGTTTTCCCTTTTTAATATCAACCATAGCTTTATTCCAAATTTCTTTAGAACATTTTACAGGTCTTTCATTCGGAAACGGCACACATTGCAAAGAGGGGCTACCCTTTAATTATTTTTGTTAAATCATTTACATATATTTTTAAACCTTTTTCCAATCAATACATTCACGCCACCCTTTTTGAAATTAAAATTTAAAAGGAATTTATTTTTAAAAAATAACCAGGCAAAAATACATCCAACATTAAAGCAGAAATTTTTTTGTCATCTTTTTCTTCAAAAAGGGAAATATTTTTTATTGGATTATTTAAAGTATTTGGAATATTATTGTTATTAATTGCAAATAAATATTTAAAAATAAAATTATTATTAATTAATATAATAAATATTAGATAATTAAAATTCATTTTTAACTTAAAAAGGAAATGTTACTTTACAAATTAAAAAATTTCTGGCTATAACCTGTTTTAGAATAAAATAGCTTTTATTGATTGTCATTAAATGCGCAAAATTATTTTTGAAGGTTCTTTCTTAAGAATGTTTACCCTAATAATTAATTGTGAGTAAAAAATAAATATTCGAGCAGGATTAATTGTTTCAAATAAAAATTAGAAAATAAAATAGAGGAGTTGGCCCAACACCTATTTGTGTAAAATCTTATATTAATTTAAATTTTGTATAGAAGACGGGGACGGATAAACCCTAATTTAAAATGGGTAATGAGTAATAACACTACTCTGAATACAGCCTTGGTAAACTATTTTCCCGAATAAAGAAAAATTCTTTTTAAAATAAAATTTAATAAAATTAAAAGAAAAAAAACCAATTAACTGGATGATTTGAAACATTGAAAAAAACAAAACAATTTAATCTCCCACTATTTTCTCTAAACAGCATGCCTTCTTGCTCCAAATAAACTACCACGATATTTCTTTAAAGGTTCCTCTGAGGATGTTATTGACTGAGAAGTTGATGTTGCTTGTTGATTCTAAAATAAAAATTTGAAAAAAGAAATATAATTAGAAATTAATTTCTTTTAAGATATAAGTATTGGAAATTCCAAAAGAGGACAAGACATTTAGTTTCCCTTTAAAGTTTGTAGGGAGTGGGAAGTAAAATCTAATGATGAATCCAATAAAAATTATTTTTCACAACATGCGGCCGTCTTTAAGAGAATAAATTAAAATTTATTTTTAATTTAATAAACTCGCTAGGTAAAAATCCAAAAATGTTTTTTAAAAATTCCCCCCCCCCCCCCCCCCCCCAAGAAATTCAGCTAAAACATTAAAATAACAAAGCTAAATTTTAAGTGATTCTTAACTCAATCACCAAAAAAATATTTTTTTTTAGATTTTCAAAAATAAATTCAAAAAAACCTCTTGTCCAACAATTTTTGCTCTCTTTCTAAATTCCTCGGTAGGATTATCAAATTGACTGTAAAATTGAAGAACCGGTCTAACATCTTCAACATCAGACAAATGAATTGCTTAAATTAAAAATAAATTTTTAAGTTTTTAAAAAAAATTCCAAACTTTTCAATAATTCTGCCAAATCAACTAAAGAAGTATCGTTCATATCTCCATTCCATTTAGGCACACAAAGAACATTTTCTGGATTTAATTGAAAAGCAGCAGGTTCCCAATCAATATAAATAACCTTCTTCAAGTCTCTATTAAGTCGAGAAAGATCCTTTAAAAATTAATAAAAATAAAGAAAAATTTTTAAAAAGTGGTAAGAAAAGTGATGTTTAAAAGAATGATTTTTGGTAATTACTATGGCTAAATTCCCCTTTTAATATAAATTCGCCAAATAATATTTCCCTTTGAAGAAAATCTATAGGTCTTTTATAGCAATATAAAGACGATTTTGTGGTTGTGAGCTGTGTGTACTAGAAGTCCTAGCCAACTTACGAAAAGCGAAAGAATTTAAAAGCAAAGTATGAGGAACTAATTTTATTTTGAAATATTCAAAAATTACTTTAGGAATATCTCGTAAACCCTTAGATTGAATTGAAATGATTAAGCTTTTTAAGAGTGAAATATGCAAAATAAAAAAGGTATGACAAGCTCACTGGCACAAAAAAGTTTTTGTATTGCTATAAATGATCTTGAGATTCTCTTAAAGGGAAATATTATTTGGCGAATTTATATATTAGATAAAAGTAGAAAACTCTCTACTTCAATCGTCAAAACCCTCTTAAATTACATCAAAATTTGGGGCAAAAATACAGATGAAATAAAAAGAAATTAATCTTTTTTAAATAAAATAATTAAACAAAAACCTTAACATGTGTACCATTCACATATTTAGTACAATCTCTAAAAAGTGCATGATTGATTCTTTGTCCTTGGGGATCAATTTGAGTAACAATTGGAGCAGCCTAAAAATTAATTTAAATTCTATTTAGTGTTAGAAAAAATAGAAAAACAAACATTCATAAGATTTTCTGAAGTGTAAAGGACCAATTCAAAATTTGGATATCCAATCATATCAATAAAATAATCCAAAGCTGGCCTCTTCACAAAATAATGACCTTTCTTGTACTAAAAATAAAATTAATAAAAAATAAAAAGAAATTTTCAAATCAATTTTCGACAAAAAATAAAGCAAAGAGCGTACCTATTCTTCTAAAAAAGCCGCTAGTTTTATAATAAAGTTGAACTAAATGGAAACATGATGGGAATTGATACTCACCAACAAAACTAAATTCTTGGAAGCAAAAGGAATATTTTTAAAAAACAAATAGAAAGTAAAAAATCAACGTAATAAGAAAAAAGTTGTTAGCGCATTCGGCGCTAATAACGGCGCCGAAGATGATCCACCCTAACCCTCGAAAATTTTTCTTGGGAACGGCTCTGATTCAGGAAAACGTAAGAAAGGCCCATTTAAATTCAATTTTACTTTCAGACAAAAAATTAATATTCTACTTACATCCCATTGAGGACTGACTAGAACATTTCTCAATTCAAGAACAACTGTATATTTTGGCTGATGATAAGGAGCCTTGACAGGATCGGGGAGAAGCTTCTCTCTTGAAGGTTCAGCAATGAACTAAAAAATAATTTTTCAAAACTAATTTAAAAATTAAAAAAACCTTTTTCCAAAATTTAATAAAATCAAGAACACGCCAAAATGGGGCAAATTTATAATTAGAAAATTCATCAGGAAGTAATTCACCAGTAACCGGATCACGAGGTTGACTTCCTAAATTTTAATATATTATTAACAATGGATAACTAAAAAGATTAAAAAAAGATTTGGGAAAGGTATTGAATATTAACAGAGAAAGGAAATTTGAAAACATTAATTATGGTTGGGGATCTTGACAAGATTCTAGGCCTTAGGTGAATCAAAGACAAGGAAAAATCAAGGTCTGGATCCAGATCCAGGCTGTCTCTAAATATAAATAATCTAACAATTTCAAAAGGAAAATAAATTTAAAAAATCAAACCATAAACATAAAAAACATAAGCAGTTCCAGAAATAACCAAAATTGACATAAATCCAATTCCTTTCTTAACACCCTTCCAATGCCATTCTTGGCGTTTCTGTCTTTCCAGTTCTTCATATTTTTCCTTAAATAAAATAAATTTTAAAACAAAACTTAAAAGAAAACCAACATTGCTAAAATGGCGATAATTAAAGGCCAAAATATTTCTTTTAGAACTTGAAAAAAATTGAAATTTGTTGTTGCAAACATTTTTAGCATGACGAAATGAACGTAGAATTAAAGACATAATTAATAAATATATCTAAATTGAATAATAAAATTTATTTTTTTTATCTAAAAAAAAACATAAAACGGTACTTGTGGGTTATCCCAAACCAGTTTTTGCGGACATATTTATGCGGACTCATGTACGAAAAGGTCAAATGTTCTCCCTTCAAATTTCTCTCTTCCTCGATTTCACCCAATTTTCTCTGTGGCATTTTTAATGAGGGCATCAATACAGAAAAGATTAATTTTTTGCAATGCCATCAAATATAAACTACATAACATTAGGGCCGTAGCCAGGATTTTTTTTCGGGGGGGGGGGGCAAGGGGGGAAAATTTTTGAACCAAATCCCGAACCCGAACCGAATTTCGAACCCTGAACCCTAATTTCGAATATGCAGATGATATCTCGTTCGAAAGAGCTCGTTGAGCTAAGGTCAAAATCCAGAAAATCAAGACCCAGAAGGTCGAGGCAAATTGCCAAGAAAATACAAATCTTGGACGGATAAAGAATTTTTGCATAATAAAACTGATTTGGGCGTATTAAGACGGATTTGTCGGGATTAAGGTGTATTAAGGGACATAGGACGGAAATACTCTCGTGCAACTGTCGGATAATGCAAAATGACACTTATAATAACCGGACTTATAACAATGCCAAACTTTTTCAGACCTTATTTTTAGTTTAAAGCCTCGCGCCATAGTGGTCGCGCCATAATGGGCGGACACGCAAACAAGGCTAAAATCAATAATGCATTATGCATTATTGATTGCATTATGCATTATTGATTTTAGCCTTGTTTGCGTGTCCACTCAAGGCGGGACATTATTTTTACTAAATGTTGTTTATTTTTTTTTATTTTATTTTTATTTTTTTTTTATTTTTCTTCATTTATTTTTATGAAAGGGTTTCATCAAAATTAATGTTTTTGGGTGAATAGTATAGTAAAAAATTAATTTCTTTTTCGAGTTTTTTGCTGTTTTTTTAATTTTTAACAGGGTTCGACATTGGAAAGGAGACCGGGTTTTTTGGGCACGGTAGCTCGGAATCGGGTGTTTTGATAAAACCAGGTTATCGGGAATCCGAGTTATCGGGTTTCGGTATTTTAGCCCGGAAAACTCGTCCCGTGGAAATTTGAATATAGAACTCCGGATACCAGGCCATGCGATTCGAAAATGTCGAACTCTAATTTTTAAGTTTTAATAAAAAAAAATTTTTTTCCTTTTCTAGCCAAAATTTGACTTTCCTTTTTGGGCTTTTTTTAATTTATCTGACAAAAGATCTCAAAAAATGCGTGAAATCGTCCATATCCAAGTTGGCCAATGTGGTAACCAAATTGGTTCCAAGGTTGTTTTTTAATATTTGATTGATACTGTTGAATTTTAAGTTCTGGGAAGTCATTTCGGATGAACACGGAATCCAGCCTGATGGATCTTACAAGGGAGACTCTGACTTGCAATTGGAACGGATCAATGTTTACTACAATGAGGCTCATGGTATTATTTAAGTTTAACTAGGAATTCTTGGGGAGCGTTAGTAGCGTTAGAGGCCAGACTGGTCGATTACTCGCTAAAGTTTTTCATTAAAACATGATAGGTTCGCTTGGTTTCTGTGTCTACTTCCCAATTCAGTTTTTGGGTTCTCTGGGTTTATTTGGAATCTTTTCCCAATTAAAAGTTTTATTAACAGAATTGTTTTTTTAAGGCGGAAAGTATGTCCCGCGTGGTATTCTTGTTGACTTGGAGCCGGGAACGATGGACTCGATTAAAGCTGGACCATATGGAGAACTCTTCCGTCCTGACAACTTTGTCTTTGGCCAGGGCGGTTCAGGAAACAATTGGGCCAAAGGACATTACACTGACGGCGCTGAGTACGTTGACAATGTTTTGGATGTGGTCAGAAAGGAAGCGGAGGGATGTGATTGTCTTCAAGGATTCCAAATGACTCACTCGCTTGGCGGTGGAACTGGTTCTGGAATGGGGACTTTGCTGCTTGAGAAGATTCGACAGGAGGGCAATCCCGGAGAATTGGGGTCCCTGCGGAAAAAAATCTTAAAAATAAGAAAAAGGATTTTTCTAGGGTAAAAAAATATGCTGATTACGAATCCGAGCTCAGATTTTGAAAAAGTCGAATCCCGAACCCGAATTCGGACTTTTGATCCCGAACAGGATTTTTGACCCCTAACATTACAGACATTGTACAAAATGGCCAGTCTTTCAATAGAATCATAGAACTCATCGAGCTGTGTCGAATGACACCAAAATCAATGAAATCCGACCGGATTGAACCGAGATACAGACCCCTAAATATTGAAAAACCACATGGGTGATTTTTTGGAGTAAAAAAAAAGTTTTTACAAATGATAGCTCATTCGAAAGAGCTCGTCGAGCTGAATCGAATGACGCCAAAATTACAGTGATTGATCAAGTTTTGACAAAGTTATGACATAAGTCGCCGACTCCTACAGTACTCCCATAGGTATACTTTATGTCATAACTTTGTCTAAACTTGTCCAATCACGTTGATTTTGGTGTCATTCGATGCAGCTCGACGAGCTCTTTCGAACGAGCTATCATTTGCATATTCGAAATTCGGGTTCAGGGTTCGAAATTTGGTTCGGGTTCGGGATTCGACTTTTTCAAAATCTGAGCTCGGATTCGTAATCAGCATATTTTTTTATCCTAGAAAATACCTTTTTCTTATTTTTAAACTTTTTTTTCGCAGGGACCCCAATTCTCCGGGATTGCCGACAGGAGTATCCTGATCGTATAATGTCTTCTTTCTCTATTGTTCCGTCGCCTAAGGTTCTTTTTAGCTTTTTAGTCGGCTTCATTTTTCAATTTTTCAGGTCTCTGACACTGTTGTAGAACCCTACAACGCAACTCTTTCTGTTCATCAACTTATTGAGAACACTGACGCGACTTACTGCATCGACAACGAGGCTCTGTATGATATATGCTTCCGTACTCTGAAGCTTCGAAATCCAACATACGGAGATTTGAATCATCTTGGTTAATTTATATTCTGCATTTTTAAAGCATTCTGTTCATTTTAGTAGCCTTAACCATGTCTGGAGTGACTACTTGCCTTCGCTTCCCAGGCCAATTGAACGCTGATCTTCGCAAATTGGCTGTCAACATGGTTCCATACCCGCGTCTCCACTTCTTCATGCCTGGTTTCGCTCCACTTTCGGCTAAGGGCGCAGCTGTCTACCAGGCCCAAAATGTTGCTGAATTGACCAAGCAAATGTTCGATGCTAAGAACATGATGGCTGCTTGTGATCCACGTCATGGACGTTATTTGACTGTTGCTGGAATCTTCCGTGGACGCATGTCAATGAGTGAAGTCGACGATCAAATGATGTCATTCCAAAACAAGAATTCGTCATACTTTGTTAAATGGATTCCAAACAACGTTAAGACTGCGGTTTGTGACATTCCTCCACGTGCTCTCAAAATGTCTGCTACGGCTATTATAAACTCCACGGCCATTCAAGAACTGTTCAAACGCATCTCTGAGCAATTCACTGGTAAACGATTTTTTCTTGTCTGAAAAACATTTTTCTCGTTTAGCCATGTTCCGTCGCAAAGCCTACCTTCACTGTTACACTGGCGAAGGTATGGATGAGATGGAATTCACTCAAGCCGAGTCCAACATGAACGACTTGATTTCTGAATACCAGCAATATCAAGATGCGACAGTTGATGATGAAGATGATTATGAAGCTGATGAGAATCCTCCAGATTCACCAGAATCGGGTGAATTGAGAATTGAGGAGGAACGTCGCCAGGTCTGTTTTTTTAAATTTGACCAATCCAAATCCGCTAATATTGTATGAACGACGAACTAGATGGGATAGGGTTTATTTTTATTCACTTTTTAGCTTTAGGGGTTATCACCAAATAGACTAACTTGGTGAGTGTGGTTATATGTTTATTGTAGGATTTGTGCTTTTTGCGCTTAACTGTGTTTGTCGTTATCCCAATAGCCGATTATTTCTGGATATCTTGAATAGCGGCGCTTTTACAATTAAATTTAGATTATCTTTGTCTTTTTAATAATATTTTTTATTTTTTAGAGTATTAGCAGCATAAAAGAAATTCCTACTGAACAACTTTCTAGTTCGCGTGATTTGTGCGATGAGGATGAAAAAGAAAATTTGGATATTCGAGATCAGCAACAAAAGTTCCAACAACCTCTGCAGAGTATGAATATTTAAATATTGCTTTTGTCAAAATAATTCTAATTTATAGGTTCAACCATTCCTTTGTCCACTTCTACTTCCTTATCGTCTACTCCAACTATTTCATCATCAAATCTTCAAGCTTTCAAGAAAATTCCAAATTTGAATTCATCACCTCAGAAGATCAGTACATATGTTGGAGTGGAAAATATGACAGGAACAAGTTCTACAACCCTGCCTTCATCTATAACTAGTTCAGCAATTGAGCCTAAAGTAACTAATGATTCTACTCTCGGAGGGTCTATTGCCGAAGCAAGCAAGGTCTTAGCATCTGCCAAAGTTCAAGGAGATGCTTCGGAGAAACAGTAAAATAAAAAAAATTTTTTTTAATCTTTTTTTTTCGTAGGTTGCAGCGGACGAAAACTTCTTCGATTCCTCCGCCTCAAGCACCTTTATATTCTTTTACTCTAAATCCAATTGGCCATCCACTACCTGGAAGTACTTTTCAATCTACTTTTCTTCCTGCTAGAATGATGATGCCGGCTACTACAATTCCACCTTTTCAACAAATTTTTCCTCCATCAGATTTCTCTGTTCCTCCGCCTCCGATACCTGGTGTTCGATATGGTTTTACTTCAGGTCAAAGAGTGCCTGTAGATGCTATACAACAACAAAATTCAACACAAACAAATGCTCCGTCTACATTAGAAAAGCAGGATGGTAATGTACAAATTCCTCAATCTCATAATGGGCGACGACGTGCTAAGTCTTCGTCAAGTTCTAGCAGTTCTCGGTAATCTATATTTGAATATTTTTTTTAATTTTTAAAGTGGCTAAAAATAATTTGATATAATGGCATGTTAGTTCTGTGTAAAAATTCTCGGCAAGGATAACTTGAATTAGGAGAATTTTTGTGCCCATTTTGTTTTTGCTACCCACCCTCCTTTCAAATTTGGGGAAATTGTTTCCTACCTATGAATTTAAATTAACCATAATAATAACAAATTTAAATTTTATTAATTTATAGTTCGGCCAGCAGTGTTTCTCGTTCTTCTACGCCGCAAAATGATCGGGACCGTAAACGAAGTCGTTCTCTAGATCACCCACCAAAATGCCGTTCTAGTTCATCCTCTTCAAATCGTCGGCGAAGGCGTTCATCTTCTTCCTCTTCATCAGCATCACAAGAAAAAAGGAGGGATAACCAAATTAAGAATTCGTGTGACACAGACAGTGGAAGTCCAGTTTTAGTATTGTCTGATGAGACTGTTCGAGGTGAAAAGAATAATGTAACGGCCTCTGATAGTTTGATAGTTTTTTATCTTAATCTTTTAAGAAAGAATGCCATGTTTGCACTTTCACACCTGCTCACAATTATTACAATGGGCAAGTCTGCGAGGCTTGCTTTAAATTTTTCTGCCGAAACATAATGGAGAAGAACAATCTTGTTTGCAAAAAGGATGTTAACTGTGTTTTAAAGAGGGGGCAAAAATGTTGTAAATACTGCAGGGTTAGCTTTTCTTTTTTAATTTTCTTATTAAATTTTATTTAGTTACAAAAATGTTTGAAAATAGGAATGCATTTGTCTTCAAATATTGGCTCATACAAAGTTCATTGTGAAAATTCGGTGAATAATTAAATAAAATAATCTAAAGTTTTATTAATTTAAAAATAAAAAATTAATTTGAAGATAAAATTTTTAATTAATTAATTTTTAGACTGAATTATTGAAGCAAAATATTCTTTCTGTTTTAAATACTAATTCTACTCAAAATATTTTTATTGGATTTTCTGGCGGTTCAATGCCTCAATTACTTGCACCTTTATTAAATGAACTTTCAAATGATGTAATTAAAATTAAAATAATTTTTCTAAAAAACTTTTTTTAAGAAAATTTCCAATCTTTTATTATTTCCTGTTGATGAACGTCTAGTGCCTTTACAAAGTGAAGAAAGCAATGCCGGCAGTCTTTTGCGAGAATTATCTACCAATAAAGAAAGATTTGAGAATAAAATATTAAAAATTTCTGAAGAACCTAATTTATTAGAAGATGGACCTCAAATGGCTTCAGAATTTGAAAATAAACTTCTATCAATGGATCCAAAACTTGATGATAATGGATTTCCTATTTTTGGTATAATTTTAATTTAAAGATAAATATTAATTATCTAGCATTCATGAACCCCAGAAAAATATTTTTGAAATAATTAATGGGCATTCCATTCATTAAAAACTTTGTCATTATTATTCCCGTCATTTTTTCTGCACCTGCAAAATTACTGATTTTATATTATGTACTTTCAAATATTTTTCCGACAGCTCCGGGAAAGGGAAATGTATGAAAATCTATTACTCGATTTAATTTTTAGCAAACCAAAAAAGTATCAAAATCAATGAATTAACTTTTTTCCAAAAGTTAAAACTAATCTGATCTAACAATTATTTCTTTCCTTTTCTAATGAAAATTTCTGATTAGAATCTATATTTTCAATTATTAGCCCCACAATGACATCTCTCAAAAAAGTTTATTTTTGGTGCCCATACTTCACTCAATCAATTTTAAAATCTAATTTTTAGACCTTATACTTCTTGGATTGGGCTCTGATGGCCATACTTGTTCTTTATTTCCAAATCACCCATTACTTGAAGAAAAAAATAGTTGGGTTGCCTATATAAATGATTCGCCTAAACCTCCACAAAGAAGAGTTACTTTAACTTTACCTGTTTTGAATGCAGCAAAAAATATTATTTTTATTGCTAATGGAAAATCTAAGGCCAAAATTATTGCTCAAATATTTGAAAATGAAAATAATAATAAATTATTGTTACCACCAAATTTAATTAAAAGAAGAGAAGATCAACAACCAATTAAATGGTTTTTGGATGTAGAAGCTAGTTCAGACATAAAAATTAAATAGAAATTAAGTTGACTTTGACCAAAAAAATTTAGCTTTATTTATTTTAGGAAATATTTTTTATTTTTAATATTGTTTAATTTATAAAGACAAATTATTTTTAAATAAAATTTGTAAATTTTTTATTGAAAAAAATAATTTTAATTTTGGAGAAAGTGAAAGAAAATTTATTCAAAAAATGTTTAATTTAAATAAAGAAGAAGAAATTGAAGAATTTTTTAAAATAAAAATTAAAAGAGGAATTAAAAATATCAAACAAATTAATGAACAAATTAATTTAGATTTGAAAAAATTGTTTAAACAAATTAAATGTAAAGTGTAAATTTCTAGTCCAAATTCAGTTTAACCGGCCAAGTTAAATTTAATAAAGAATCCATCCTTTCAACTGGTTTAAAAAAGGTCTTGTATCCCGTTAGATTATTAAATTTGGGACTTTACGGAAGTTGACGGGGGGGGGGGGGGGCCATTCAATTAGTTTATTCATATAAATTTTGGAAAGTTGTGACGGAGAGGATTTCGAAATTTTTTTATAAACTTATACAAAGGAGTGATAAAGTTTGAACTGTAATAAACAGAATTTAAATATATATTTTAATTATTAAATATTTACACTAACATTTACATAATTATTTAGATAAAAAAGATGAGAATAATTATTTAAATTCAAAAGGATTCCAGTCACTTTCATTTAATCAGACAGAATTAATTCTCCCAAAAATACACAAGAAGATAATTTATTAAAAAATAATAATTTAATGGAAATTGTATTAAATAAACAATTAAATACACAAATATTAATAAATAAATATTTGTTAAAAAATAAAAAAGAAAATCCAAAAGAAATTTTTAAAAATATTTTTAATTTATGGAAAGAAAATACAGCGCGAGGTTAAAACTTTAGAAAATTAATTTTATTTTTGCAAATTAATTGAGTAAATTCATTAAATCTTTAATTTTAAATTAAATATCTTCATTAACTTCAGCCATTTCTGCAACGAATGATTTACGTTGTTCCCATATACTTGTACTTTCATTAACCCATTTATTTCCCTCCTCCTCCGCATAATTATCTTCACTTTTATTTTTAATTTTTTGAAATTTAAAATCATCTCCTTTCTGTTGTTTACAAATAATTTCTAAAGGCTTTGGACAAAGGCAAGGCTGTAAACGAAGAATTTCTTGTTCATTCTCGTTAATAAAGCTTTGTTTATTGTTTATTACCCTTTGAGAAATATTTTTTGAAAATAATTTTTTAAAAATTATTTTACCCATTTTTTGTTGTTTTTGTGTTGTGCCATGTATTATTTTGTTGATTCCATTCTTGAATAATTGGGGGTGTTGCTGGAATTATATTTGTTTGAATATTAACAATAGAGGAAACAGAAGGAATTGCTTCAGTATTTCGTTGAATTTTTGTGTTGTCTGAAAGGAATTTTTAATTTTTTTGAATTTTTATTTGTTAAAACCTTTAAATCCTTCAGTTATCATTTCCCCATTCTCTTCCTTATTAAAAACTTCTGTGGATGGAAATTCTTTATTTTCTTTATTCCCCAATTTTTTGATTATTTTTCTTTCATTTTTAGGATTTCCAAAACTTTTAATTATGCAGCAAGTACTAATTAAAAGTAAAAGGACAATTAAAATAATTATTAAAAAAGCTAATGCTGACATTGAAAAAGGATTTTTTGAATAACCTAAATAATTATTTTTATTTAAGATTATTTATATCTAACAATATTCCTCATCACTATCATCGTTCTCAGCACAATTCGAGATTCCATCACAACGTAATGTTTCGTTAATACAAAGTCTGTTACGTTCAACACAAACACTATTTTGACTGTCCAAACAAAAATATCCCCCAAGACAAACAAATCCTGGACAAAGATCACTCGTTATAACATCAAAGTTTTCTTCAGCATCTTGACTCACAGAATTCTCAATATCCGTAGTTAAAGGGAAATCGCTCGAAGTTGCTATCAATGAATGGACCTAAAATTTTTTAGAATCCCAAAACGAAATAAAAATTATTTTCTAGGATATTTCATGTTTAATGATATCCATGTGGATAAACCCCCCGACCTACTGAACGCCCAATTAAAATTATTTTATTAAAAATGCTGATTGATAAAAATTATAATTTTTAGACTTCTTTCTAAATTACACTAGTTTTACTCTATTTTTTCTGTTCAAAATCAGTACGAACAAACAAATAGTTATCAAATGAATTCTTTGCCTCTTCTCACATCTGAGAGTGGAATTGGGAATAAAAGATTTGTTTCTGGTATTGAACAACAAAAATATAAAGGTGGATTAAAAATGGGAGATTAAAATTTAAAACTTTATTATTAGAAAAAATATTAAATTAAAAAAATTTTTTTGAAACAAAAAACTCTATTTTTAAACTCAATTCTAAATTACCCTAGTTTTGCTGTAATTTTTGGTCTAACACAAAAAATAGATAAATAATTTATGTACTTTTTTATTCTGCCATTAAATAACTGCTTATTTTTAAGACAATTTTATTAACCACCAATCTCCTCAATATACTCATCTCCATAGAATGATGGAAGGATATCAACAATTTAAATCATTACGTAAAGCCGGTCAAGCAATGATTGGAGTTTTTTCTTTATCTGCACTTTCTGGGGGCGAATTACCCAGAAGTCATATTGATACTTATATGAAGATATGTAAAATAAATGTAGAGGAAATTTTTGTTTTGAATTTAAATTACAAATTATTTTACAGATATCAATTATGCAAGATGTTCTTGAACGGTTTTTCTATCCATTTAATGAAGTTCCAGCAGCTGACAAAGTAGTTATAAAATAAATTATATAATAAAATAAGGTGTTTGTCCAGTTCCAGAATTAAAAATACATAGAAGTTTCGATAACATTTTTATTGTGTGAGTTACCAGGAACCAGATGATTCATAATTCCTTCAAAATATAATATCTAATGTCCATTTATAATTAATGTGTATTTAATTCTCTCTAACATTTTTTTGTTTCTACTGAAACAATGAATAAGTTTATAAAAGTTAATAACCGCAATCTCGGTTCGGGAATTGAAATCGCTGAACCGGAAAAACACCCCTAATATAATTATAATAGTAGTGGATTATTTTATATTAAAAAAAATATTTTAATTTTTTGTAATGCCGAACGTATAAAATAAAAAATTCAATTTTTTTCTCTTTAGTTAAAATTAACTCATTATTATGGACAAATGTTTTGTAATGCTGAACGAGCTTTTCAAACATATTTAAGGTTTGGGCCAGGTGAAGATCTGCTTATTATGCCTGATGGGGTATTTTTGAATTATTAAATTTAGGAAATTTTTGTTAAATTAATTTTCTGACTAAAATTATAAGCAATTAAATGAATTTATTGAAATATCTAATTAATTGAGCTTAATATTTTATATAATATAAATTTAATTTAAAGGGTTATGTCAGCTTAAGCGAATTTCATCTTTTTTTCAAAGATAGTACGCAAGTAACTAGTGACCCTGAGCAAATTGCAAGGTTTTATATATTAAATTTATTTAATATACTAGATATATTTAAGGGTCTTCCATAATGCAATTCAATATTTAATTGCCAATGTTGTCCCGCATATGCGTAATATTGCCATGCAAGAGGAAGAAATGGTTGCATTAATGGGAATGTTTCTTTGGACTGATTGTATTTTTAAATTTATTTTTGATAGAAATTTAATTTGAGGTCACTATAATACTACGTGGGATCAAAGACTTAGATTAGCCAATCTATTAAAAAATAAAATTGTTAATTAATTTGTTAATCACTCTCAGTTCAGAGACTGAGATAATAACATTTAATTTTTAATATCTCATTTTTTGTTTAAATTTGAGCCATTTAAATACCATAATTACCATATAAACTCTATCAATTACCTCCCTCGTATTATCCCCTCTCAATTAATTACCCCCTCTAGTGGCTTTAGGTTAGAATATAGAATTGAGCTTGAGATCTCAAAACAATTTCGGTCTGATCTCTACTCTAAATACATAAAATATTATAGATAATTACAATTTTGTAAGTACGATGGTCGGTTTGTAAATACTTCTAAACTAACAAGGAACAATATCGAACTGTGACCAAAAATTTTCAAATAAAAATTATACCATCGTGTAGAGCATGGAAAAAAACCTAATACGTATTAGGTTTTTTTCCATGCTCTACACGATGGTATAATTTTTATTTGAAAATTTCTGGTCACAGTTCGATATGGTTCCTTGTAAGTACTAATCCGTGCCCTGTTATTATTTTATAAATATTAATTAATAAATTATCTTTAAATTAAAAATTAAAGCAATCGACATTTCTGAGCAAAGTTTAAGTAAGGCAATGCAAGTTCGTAATGAGATAATTGTTGATTTACATAAATATTATCGTGAAATTGGTTTAAATGAAGAGGGAATCTCTGTTAGAATGTATATATTTACATAATAAACATTTAATTTTTTTTAATTTTAGAGCAAATTTATTTTTATTGGTTCCTAAAATTGAGGTAAATTTTAAAAAATATATTAAATTAAATAAATAAACAGAATGTTGTTAAAATGATGCAGGAAAATGCAGCTATAACAAAGTTACCGCATTTCCTCAAATAGTACGGCCCCCTCAATTAGTACGGCCCCCTCTATTAGTACGGCCCTTTAGATGAGGGTTGAAAAATAGTACGGCCCCCTCAATTAGTACGGCCCCCCAAATAGTACGGCCCCCATTTAAAAATATAAAAAATATTACAAAATTTGCTCTTTGAATTATACTAACAATCCTCATCTTTATAATTAAATATCTGACACTTAATCCTCCCAGATCCCTCCATTTGTCAATAAAATACTCTTAATCTCTCATAATCTCCACAAATCCTTGGGTTATTAAGCATTTAAGCAAAACTCAAAAAAGAAATCCATCTGATTCAAATCTACTGAGTACAGTGGCTATATCTGAGACGCCATCTCTGGGTCTTAAATCTCTGGGTCCTACATCTCTGGGTCCTAACTGGATCAAGCATACAAAAAAGTGACTCTATTGGAGTTTTTTAATTCGGTAATATTTTGACCTTTTTAAGATTTATTTAAATCTACTTTCCCACTAGAAATCCCTCATAATCAGCATATATCCCTCATAATTCCTATAATTCGAAATTCCATCACAATTCGAAATTCCATCATTCCACAATTCGAAATTCCATCACAACGCAATGTTTCGTTAATACAAAGTCTGTTACGTTCAACACAAACACTATTTTGACTGTCCAAACAAAAATATCCCCCAAGACAAACAAATCCTGGACAAAGATCACTCGTTATAACATCAAAGTTTTCTTCAGCATCTTGACTAACAGAGTTCTCAATATCCGTAGTTAAAGGGAAATCACTCGAAGTTGCTATCAATGAATGGACCTAAAATTATTTGTTTAGAATCCCAAAAAATTTTCTTTTTTCTAGGATATTTCTTGTTTCGTTAAAACTAACTTCAGATAAAGGTGTTCGTAAACAAACACATTGTTTCTGGATTACAGCTTAAAATTAAAGACCTCTGTCCAAAGAAGACGGAAACCAATTGGGCTATAATTTTTCTTGTATTCAGCTAATTGAATTTGTGTTGGTCCATCAGTTGTCATAAATTGAATAATTACTCTGTTACTTTCGGAAAGGTAGGATAATGACCCTTCTTCTGTATAATATGATTTATTTCCATAAAATGAAATACTTGTAGTATCTCTTCTTGGGGAACCAAAATTTAATATATTATTGGAGAATCTTTGATAATCTTCATTAATTTTTTTATTTATTTCTTCAGAGGAAATTCCAAAACTATATCCATCTATTATTGAAAGAAAAGCACGTTCATAATCTTTAAATAAATTATTTACAGTCTGTTGTAAATAAAATTTTAGAAGTTTGGCCATTGGGGGAAACATTTATTGACATATTCAATACTACACCTTTATAAGATAATGTTGGTTCATCCCCAAGTGTTTATTCACAAAAATGGGCCGCATGTACATAGTTTAACCCTTTATTGCAATATATGTTTACCTAATGTTGGTGATAATTCCAAATCCATTATTCTAATATAAATTCTTTTATTTGGATCAACTCGAATAAGCCAAAAACAATTAACACAACACGAAATGTCCCCATGTACACTCTGTTCCAAAATGATACGACCACCCCTATTTTTCATTGTAACTTGATGAAAAATCAAGTAATCAAGCTTAAATTTTAATACAATATGTATTTCAACAATATTATTCAATTCTATGAATATCATAGTTATCCGTTGATAAGTAAAAAATATATCGTTTAAAAACCGATTTCTAGGTGTTCCAAAATGATACGACCACTTGATGATTATAGACTAGCTTAGTACCTATTATAGTTTATTTATCATATTGTTTTACTACAATAAACACTGTAAAAAAATAAGAAAAAACTAGGCCGGTATCTTTATCAGAAGTCGAGATACTGACACCTCAAAAATCAACGTAAAACAGAGGTAAGGCTTTGTCAGAAAGATTTTCGAACCCTTATAAGTCTTTTTTAAATTTTATTTTAGGCTCATTTGAAAGCCCTTGAAATTTGCTACAAAATAGCATTAGCGATATTTTTCAGAAAAAATTCCAAAGAAAGATACGGGTCGTTAATCTTCCGAAACTACCTTAAGTGACATTTTATGGGGCATTTAGGCGTTCGGAAGATTAACGACCCATATCTTTCTTTGGAATTTTTTCTGGAAAATATGGCTCTTGCTATCTTGTAGCAAATTTCAAGGGCTTTCAAATGAGCCTAAAATAAAATTTTAAAAGAACCTATAGGGGGTCGAAAATCTTCCTGACATAGCCTTACCCCTGTTTTACGTTGATTTTTGAGGTATCAGTATCTCGACTTCTTGTAATGATACCGTCCCAGTTTTTTCTTATTTTATCACAATATTTATTGTAGTGAAACTATGGAATAAAAAAACACTGATAGGTACCTAGCTAGTATAAAACTATCAAGTGGTCGTATCATTTTGGAACACCCAAATATCAGTTTTTAAACGATAAATTTTTTATCTATCAACTGACAACTGTGATATTTACAGATTTGAACAATATTGTAGAAATACATATTGTGTTAAAATTTAAGTTTGATTTGTTGATTTTTCATCAAGTTACAGTGAAAAATAACGGTGGTCGTATCATTTTGGAACAGAGTGTACTAAATATTTAAAAATAATACATAAAAAAATTGAATAAAATTTTTTATAAATAAAACTATTCACAAATTTTAATTTTAAATAATATATAAAAACGTTGAAGAAATAAAAACGAAATAAAATAAAAATAGTATATAAAAACGCATGAGCAGAATCAGGATCCCGATCAAGAATTGCGATTGGAATTAGGGGTTTTGATAAAATATTAAACAACTATTGGATGAATTAAATAAAAAATCCTGATCATGCCCGTTCTGGTTAAAGCAATTTGCTTTACGATTTCGTTGAATTTTTGATATGGATTTTTAAAATGACCAAATTTTATATAAAATTTTTACATAAACTTTAGAATATATAAATTAATATAATCGAATTGTGATAACTAAATCGGTTAAAAAGATTTAATTTTGTTTCACGAGGTTACCCGCCATATTTTTAGTAAGTTTGGTTTTTTCTAATTTTTGTTTTTGTAGAATGTTTTTCATTAGAAAATTTAGCATTCGCAAATGGAAATTAAACTTTCTCACAATTCTTATACCTAAAATTGCTCCTCTTTGATTGATTTAGTTTTAAAGGTAAAAATGGGGAAGTAATGAAAATAGGGTCAATGAATTTAAAAAAATACTTACTACATATGTATAAGATACCGTATTTCCTAAAATAGTACTCCCCCCTGAATTAGCACTCCCCCCTTAAATAATACTCCCCTTTGGAGGAGGGTTGAAAAATAGTACTCCCCCCTGAATTAGTACTCCCCCTAAAATAGTACTCCCCCCTAAAATATTTTTCCCCTATATTTGAAAAAATTATAAAAGACTCATTAAATTATTTCATTTACTCTAATTATGGTTGTCGGTTTCAATTAATTCTGTGTTAACCGAAACCGAACCGAAAACCCGAACCGAAACTTCCTGTTAACCGAAATCGAACCGTAAATTTGTTGAGGATTAAGGAGATAGGTATATTGTGATTAAGTGGCTGGATAAAAGTGGATTTGAGGGATATAAGTGTATTGATATCGGGTGATAAAAGGGGTTCTGAATTGATCAGGCGAGTTAAAAGATATCATTGGATTAAAGGCGGATAAAGGAATTTGAGGGAATAATGACGGATGAGTCATATTAGTAGTTTTTTGTTGATTAAGCGTGATTAAGATAAAATTGAATCATGAATCCTCCTCAACCCAACGATTTTATTTCGATACCTCTAATTCAAGAATTTTCAGATATCCAACTCACTGATCTCCAACTTACATAATTTGATCCCTTGATATTACGCCAAATATGGATATCATAAGATTCGAAGGGATATCGGAAGAACAAAAGTGATGTATCAATTTTCGATATCCACCTTAGTCCAAAGCATGCTTCACTCTTAATTGTTTAAATCCCCTTATAGCTTAAATCCCCACTCCAAATCCACTGATATATACTTCTTGATATCCCTCAATAATCCTTATTTTAAGTCACTTGTGTTTAAATGTCCTGCCATGTGCTCAATTTTATAATAATTTGGATATTTTTTGCGAATTATAAAGGAATTTTTTTGAAAATCTATGTACGGATCCAGCATTTTTCAAATTAAGAAATCTAATTGATTTAGACATTTAGAATTTTGAAATAAATTTTCACAAGATAAATCAGTGAGGAAGGTTGAAAAATAGTACTCCCCCCTGAATTAGCACTCCCCCCTTAAATAGTACTCCCCTTTGGAGGAGGGTTGAAAAATAGTACTCCCGGGAGTACTATTTTAGGAAATACGGTATGTACATGTCTACAGAAACATTTCTGAATAAAAAATGCAGAGATGTTTCTGTTTTGCATGAAAAAATATTTACATATTTTTGTACACTTTTAACAAGATTATGGATAATATCAAACAAAAATTATGTTTCTACCAAAAATTTAAACAATTAAGTACATTATAATTTCTCCTATATATTCTTAAATCACTAAAAAAATTTTTTGTTTGAATTATCCCCAATTTAAAAACATTTAAATAATTTTTTTACATTTTTACTCAATAAAGATAATATCCTTTCCTGCCTTTCTTGTTCAAATGTGTTGTAACATTTGAAAAAATCATTCGAAGATTTTTGAGTTTTCCATGCTCGTTAATGCTCGTTTTTAGACTTTAAAATAATTTAATTTTAATATTTAGTAAATAAATTAATTTAAATAATTATTTTTGAAAAATAAGTTCTACTTTGACTTTTTTTGTTTTTTCTGATCCTTTTTTTCTTCTTCAAGTTCAACAATTTTCATTATTGAAGCCTAAATTAAATATTTAAATTTAAAAATTAATTGAATAATACCTGTGGCACATTAGTATATCTCCCAGAAACCATTTGTTCTAACGAACTAATCACCATTCCATGAGAAACAATAACAATATGTTCTAAATACATTTTAACTACATATTTTCTTTAAATAATTTATTTACCAGCATTTTCTTCTCCCGGAGATAACCATTCATTTGCTTCCCCCTCCTCCTCCTTTTTAGATTTTTTAATTAATTTAGTTTTTCCGGCATTGTTCTTCAAAAGCTGTGTAAACACTTCTTTTAATCGAGGAATACAAGCAATATCCCATCTTCTATTTTCTAGCTATAATAAATATTTTTATTTACCTCTTATTTTATTTTTAATCAAAAATGTTTAAGTATCCCCCTTACCAATCCCTCACAATAATTTAAATATATTAATTCACCTCTTTAAAACTTTCAGCCTTTTCTCTAGTAAAAATAGGCTTATATTCACAATTTAACCCTTTATGATGTTTTGTCAATTCCTTACATTCCTCATAACCTGTCGAATTATCTCCACATTGTGATAATTTTTCAATAAATCCGGGCTCTAATTTAATTTTTAAATCGTTATTTTTAATTTCTTCTGAAATTGTTTTAACTTTTATTTTGTTATTTTCCTTTTTTATTGAATCTTTCTCAATTTTGTTGTATCCCAACAAATAAAGAGCTGTCTCAATCGTACGTTCATATGGGGATACAAAAATTTCTTTAATTGGAATATTGGCAAAACTTTAAATGATTAATCAAAATTAGAAAAATTGGCAGGACCCTCAGGATTGGCGGGACCTCTCAGGCTGTCTCGCCAATCCTTCGGATCTAAACAACTTTTAAATATTTTTAAACAACATACACTTTGTTTAATCTGGATGCCTTCAATTTCCCTTCATCACTCAATGGACTATTGTCCAACATAAATTTACGTCCATTATAGTTGAAGCATTCATCCCCTTCAGCTTTATTTCTTTCTTCCTCATCATTATCAAGTCTTTCCGAATGACGAACGACCCAAATAACTTTATTAACTTTTGGAAATTTTGGTACATTTTCCTTTTTATAAACTAAAAATTTTATTATTGTATTTACTAAAATTTAATTATTACCGAAAGGTTTTTTAATATTTACTTTAATTTTCTCCAAATATTTTTCCATTTCATTTAGCGCTTTATAAAATGAATCAAAATGGCTTTTATCTTTCTTAAAAAAATATTTTCCAAAAGCTATATTGCCAAATATTTCAATTTTCATTCGATGTGAAATTGAAGCTAGAGCATGAAACAATTTTTTGTTATGAATGTTGGAAACAGCATTCTTAATGTTCAAAAATTTTATTAGTATTTTAAATTATAATAAAAAAAATTCTTGGGTAACCCTAATACCACACTTATTAAAAATCATTTTTCACGTATTTTAAATAAATAAAATTTTTTGTTATGAATGTTGGAAATTGAAATATTTGGCAATATAGTATTTTCCACCTTAAGTTTGTCAACGAAAACTTTAGCAAATTTAAGATATGCCGCCTTCAAAAATATTCCAAAATGATTAGTTCTTCTACGCCAATAATTAAAAGCCAATTCAATTTCTTTTATATAAATCTTTTTAAAATTTTCTGGATTTTTTTCCAAATTTTTTAACCAAAATTTATATTTCTCCAAATTTTCTTTAACAAAAATAATTTTTAAATTTTCATTTGAATTGCTAAATACTTTTTCAGTTTCAGTATCTTTTAATTCTTTACTTTCATCTTCACTACTTTTACTATCAGATCCACTAATTCTTTCAGATTTTTTATTTTCTTTTTTTGTTTTTCCTTCTAACCATTTTTTAAATTCCAAATAATTTTTTTCAACAAAAATTTCTTTTAATCTTTCCTCTGAATTTTGTTTCCAATAATAAAATTTTGCTTCATTTTCCCTATCAAATTCAGAAATATCAATTCTTTCACTAATCCCAATTTTGGCAAAACTTCTAATTTTGCTGTCATATTTTTCTTTTAATTCTTTTTTCATTTCAACAATCCATTCATCTAGACCCGATGAGGCAAAATTATTTGCAAGCAATTCTTTCTAAAATATAAAAATAATTATTTTAAATTTACATTTAATTAATTTTACAAAATTACAAATTTATTAGAAATCTATTTTTTAAATAAAAATTGCTACTGTCAAAGGATGAGAAAGAGGGGTCTTTATTTTATTTTCCAAACATACAATTTTAATACATCCATTGATGTAATTACCAAAAGTATAATGGGGCTCCAAAACTTCTTCCATTTCGGTTATTCCATCACCTTAAATTATTTTTAATTATTAAATTTCGAATATTTGTTTACCTGGAATTTTAGCTTTTTGATAGTCGGCATCGACATAGCACTGTGCCATTTGTAAAATATCCTCTCCCGAAATGGACTTTCCATTTGTTGGGAAACTTTAAAGTAAATAATATATAGAATCGAAATTTAAATTTTTTTGAGAATTCATAAAGAGCTGAATTAAAAACAGTTTTTAGTATGTTGAAGCCTAAAAACTTAATTGGACTTTTTCGGACCTGAAATTTATTTTGAACTTTTTTTAAACCTATTTTAGATTATTTAAATATTTTTCTTGAGTATTAACTAAATACCGAGTTTCTAGTGATAATATTAAAATAAAACCTTTTTGGAATTGAATAAATAAAAGAATGGAAATTTTAGTAAAAATAAGAATTTGTTGGCTTAAAAGCCGCATCTCTAAAATAAAGTTTAATTTAAAAAGAGAGGAGAAAACTTAAATTATTTAATTAAGAAAAAAGATTTTAAATTAATTTTTATAAGTTTATTTATGTTGAATGAAGCTATTTAAAATAAGTTTATTCAGACTTTAAATTAGCCTTGTAGTTTGTATTTATAATTTTTAATCTTAATTGGCAATCAATCTCTTAATTTTTCTTTGTTTAACATTCCCTTCTTTGTTAGGCATTTCTTAAGCAGACGATTTTAAATAAAATTTATTAAAATTATTGAATTTTCAAGTCTTCTTTTAATTGATTAATTTATTTAATTAATTTAAATTAATAAAAAAGTTTTAAAATTAATTTTAATTTTATTAAATTAAAAACATCTTATCAGAAGATTATTAATAAATATGTATTAATAATTAATAAACAATTAACAGTTAATATTAAAAAATAAAAATAACTTTAAAAAATTATTTTTTAACTTTTTTTAAAGAGAAATTTAAATTTTAATTTAAATATTAATAATTAATATTAGTAAACATTCTTAAAATATTCACAATTATCTTTATCACACTTTGTTACAAATTAAATTAATGGAAGTTTGGAGAGAATTTTGGAGAGCAGCTTTTTCTTGTCATTTAATTAGTATGTTCTTTATATTTAGTATTCCGTTGTAATTATTAGGGTGTAACATAAATAATTAGCCCCCCTTAAACCATGTACATTGTAAACTTTATATCTCAATGTTCAGATATCCAATCTATTTAATTTTTTTGTCATATATTCTTAATGAAGCCTTCTTCATTTTCTGAAAGAATTGAAATTTTTTCTCAACAAACAAATTTTTTATGAATTTTTAAAGATCAAGGCAAAATTAAGAAAATAGTGTTCACCTCAAAAATGAGATTGAACTTGGACATTTGGGAAAGGAATCATGGCGCAAAATATGTAAAGCGAAGTATGAGGATCTTATCTCGTATTCCACAGAAAAAAGTTGGCTCTTAAAATAAAAGAAAAGTAGAGAGGAGCTGAAAGACAAATAACGTCTTGGATGCCAACCAACGATAGATAAGAATCCCGTTCTCCCCTGAATCAAAACCAGTCCAAAAAATAAAATGTGTATATTGGGGCAGGCACTCACCTGCTCACTTACAAAAATTTCCATAATTTTACTTAAAGCGGGAAACAAGTTATCAAGGGTCAATTGATACCCCATGAATTTCCGCAAAATTAAAAAAATCGCTAAGTCACTTTTGCAAAACAACCCCTTAAACGCCATAATGAAGCTCCTTGTTTGATACAAATTTCAACCTATAATGAAGAGTGGGTTGACTTCATGAATTATGTAAACAAAAAGGAACGGCTCATCCCAGATAACCATCAGTTTCGACCTCTAAATCAGACTGGTCCAAGAGCGTGATCTGTTATGTATTTGGTGGTGTCGCGGCGGGTTAATCATGGGAATTTAATTTAAACTAACTAAACTATTACTCCCAAATTGTATTATTCCCATATAGATCGAGTCCATCGAAAAATCTGGTCGCCTGGCCTCGCTAGGCATTTTCGCGCGAGGGTCAGCCTAAAAAGCATAATGCTAGCTCCTATTTCACAAATGCGACCCTCTAAAGAATCGGCCAGTTGTTTTCCAGGGGAATTTCTTATTTCATTGTATTCATCAGATTCTGCTCTATCAGAATCTATTTAAATTTTCATTCTTACTCATCAATTTTGCAGAGAAAAATCAAAAAGAAATTGTCTTGTTTCAAAAATACAAGTTTTTGTATTTTACCTCTAACTCCTGACAACCTAATCCTAGGATTCTAATTTTTTGCCAGAAAATAGGCAACTCTCTTAGGATTATAAAAAAATATAATTCGAAGCCTGGAAACATTTAGTTGAATTTTAATAATTATTTAAACCACTTACCACATGGGGGGCTAATTATTTATGTTACACCCTGATACAAAACTTTTTGTGTTATATTCAATAATTAAAAGATTAACGGTTCCTTTGTCTAATTATTACTATTTTTATATTTAAAATTTGAAATATAATCTTATATTTATTTATTTAATTATTGTTGCGTAATAAATGACAACTGTTGAAATATTTAAGTCAATCAATTTTTACTTTATTATTTTCACACAGACTTTAAAAAAAATTATTTTTTAAATTTTATTAAAAGAAATTTTAATTTTTTCTTTAATTTTAATTTTTGAGATGGTCTCCAATTACGGATTAGTTAATGTGGCCTTTATTGAAATTTAAAATTTAAATACCGTATTTTTCCTAATAGTGAACCGGTCGGTTTATTTTTCAACTATCCTCTAGAGGGTCGGTTTATTAGAAAGGGTCGGTCTAATAGAGACAGTCGGTTTATTTTTCAACCTTTCTCTAGGGAGTTTTGGCCTTTAGGGGTTTTCACTTTTGGCGGTGAAAAAGGAAGAAATATGGCTCCATGGCCCTCCAATTCTTCGAAATTTTTTAGAAAATTTTTCAAAATTCTTCAAAATCATTTAGAAAAATATCGATGGATTAAAAGAGATATCAGTGAACTGGATATTACGAGTATCAAGATTAGAGGATTAAGGGTATAAAATGATAGGATGAGGATCTAAGTGGATATGAATGGATCAAGGCCATTTTGGGATATCGAGGAATTACTGAGATTAATAAGTATATCGAGGGCTTAATCCTCTGTTATCCCTTGATATCCTTACAAATCTCATATCTATCTCAATCCCTTCAAATTCCTAATCTTCTATATTCCTCCAAATCACTGATATCAAATGAAAGCCTCCCTAATACTCCAAATTCCATTATTTTCCCAGGCTAGCCTTTATATCCATAGATTGCGAACTGTGGATTGCGGCTGCGGAAAATTTTTTCTTTTGCAGACACCGCTGATTCTAGCACAAGTTTGAGGCCTTGGATACTTATTCCCTCTAAATCTACATACCTTAATCCCCTTAATCGCTTAAAATCCCCTTATATCTTTCGAAATCCCACCAAATCCACCGATATCCTTCTTGGTGTCCCTCGATAAAACTTGTTTCAAGTAACGGTGTTTAAATGCCCCGCTTTTAACCTGATTTTAAAATAATTTGTTTATTTATTGCGGAATTTTTATAATTTTTTTTGAAAATCCGGTTTTCCGGATTTTCCTGATCAGGAAATCCGATCCGATAAGGAAAATTTTAAAAATCCGGAAACAGAATCCGGAATTTTTCAAATTCCGCTCTATAAAAGAATATGGCTATAAAACATAAAAGACAAGATTAATGCTGGAGGGGGGTCGGTTTAATAGAAGGGGTCGGTCTAATAGAGACAGTCGGTTTATTTTTCAATCTCACTCTAGGGGGTCGGTTTAATAGAAGGGGTCGGTCTAATAGAGACAGTCGCACTATTAGGAAAAATACGGTAATTGAAAATTGAAGCAATTAAAGTTTTCTTATTAAAAAAATTTTTTTCTTAATTTCTTTTAAATATTTCTCAAAATTATAGAAGACCAAACTTGCGGTAGTGATCGTAATATGCCCTGCTCCTCTTCTACTACAAGCGATAAAGAAATGTTAAAATTTAATTTATTTTATTTTAATAATTTTTAACTTTTTAGAAAACAAAAATTAAATGTTGATGGAATTGTTTTATCAAAAAATAATTTTTATTATTTTAACAAAAATATTGGAGAAATAAATGAATTTGATGACGAAATAATATTCCAAAAATTAAAGGTAGATATAAATTAATTAAAGGAATATTTTATTTTTTAGATACAAATAAATTTGAAGATAAATTAAATTTGGTTTTATTAAAAATAAATATTTGTAAAAAAGTTTGTAATTTTTATGCTTTAAATGCTCAATTAGCTACTAAAGAAGTAAATAAATTTTAAATTTAAAATTAAATAAAAAATAATTTTCAGGCAAAAAGATTAACTTTAATTGAAATATTCGATTTTTTGTTTCGGGAAAATAATAATAATATTTGGAATTCAGAAAAAATTTATTTTGGAATTTTTGAATTATTTAACAAAAATGTAGTTAGAGATTTACCTCCAAATGAAGAAGAATTGAATTTTGATAAAAATTTATTTTTAATAAATAATTATGAGGAAGAAGATGAAGATTCTGTTAATTGTCCAGATCCTGCTTGGGAACATTTGGAGGCAATTAAAATTAAGAAAAATTAAATTAAATTTATTTTTAAGTTAATCTACACAATTTTTATTAAATTTATTGAATCTACAAATTTTCGAATTACTTTGGGGAAAAAATTTGTGGATGAGGGATTTGTTGAGAAAATATTTTCTCTTTTTTATTCTGAAGATTGTCGAGAAAGAGAGCAATTAGCTAAGGTTAATTTAAATTATATTTTTAATATTATTTTAATTATTTAGATTCTCAAAAGAATTTATTCAAAATTCATTAGTCTTCGTATTTTTATTAAAAAACAAATTAATTATTTAATATTTAATTTTATTTATGAAGATAATTTAATTATTAAACAAAAATTTATTTTTATTAAAGAATTATTGGAAGTTTTTAATAGGTAATAAATTAATATTTTTAAAAATTGTATAAATAAGAACCTAGTTTTAATGATATTACTCTTTGACCTCTTTGGCAAAAATAATTTAAGAAAATTTATAATTTAACGAGTCTTT